GATGAAGCAGGAAGGTGCCAGAACTGTTGGTTTTTGGTTTGGGATGAAGCAGGAAGGTGCCAGAACTGTTGGTTTTTGGTTTGATGAAATGGGAAGGTGCCAGAACTGTTGGTTTTTGGTTTGGGATGAAATGGGAAGCTGTCAGAACTGTTGGTTTTTGGTTTGATGAAATGGGAAGGTGCCAGAACTGTTGGTTTTTGGTTTGATGAAATGGGAAGCTGGCAGAACTGTTGGTTTTTGGTTTGGGATGAAGCAGGAAGCTGTCAGAGCTGTTGGTTTTTGGTGTGATGAAATGGGAAGGTGTCAGAACTGTTGGTTTTTGGTTTGATGAAATGGGAAGGTGCCAGAACCGTTGGTTTTTGGTTTGATGAAATGGGAAGGTGCCAGAACTGTTGGTTTTTGGTTTGATGAAATGGGAAGCTGTCAGAACTGTTGGTTTTTGGTTTGATGAAATGGGAAGCTGGCAGAACTGTTGGTTTTTGGTTTGGGATGAAGCAGGAAGCTGCCAGAACTGTTGGTTTTTGGTTTGATGAAATGGGAAGGTGCCAGAACTGTTGGTTTTTGGTTTGGGATGAAGCAGGAAGCTGTCAGAACCGTTGGTTTTTGGTTTGATGAAATGGGAAGCTGTCAGAACTGTTGGTTTTTGGTGTGATGAAATGGGAAGGTGCCAGAACTGTTGGTTTTTGGTTTGATGAAGCAGGAAGGTGCCAGAACTGTTGGTTTTTGGTGTGATGAAGGCCAGCAGGTCGGTGGCTGCAGCCCGGTCGGTGTCGGTGTTTCCTGCAGGGACGGGGACGCTGAAAATCGACTTTGTGGGGGAGCTGAACGACAAAATGAAAGGGTTTTACCGCAGCAAGTACAGCACGGCCAGCGGGGACACGCGCTACGCCGCCGTCACCCAGTTCGAGGTAAGCTGATCTTAGTTTAGTTTCTTCTGCTTCGTTTTTTGTTTTTAAATTTTCTTTTGAATTTTTTATTTTTTATTAAGATCGGTCACTGGGGAGATGTTCTCCAGCCACCTCAGTCCCCAAGATCGGTCACTGGGGAGATGTTCTCCAGCCAATACCAACACCAAGGACCAAGGCAAAGGAATGGAGAGGGGTTGGAACCGGCCACAGGGGAGATGTTCCTCAGCCAGCTCGGTCCCTGAGATGAGTCACAGGGGAGATGTTCTCCAGCCAGTTCAGTCCCTGAGACCAGACACTGGGGAGATGTTCCTCAGTCAGATCATTCCCTTAGACTGGCCACTAGGAAGATGTTCTCCAGCCAGCTCAGTCCCCAAGATCAGACACAGGGAAGATGTTCTCCAGCCAGCTCCGTCCCCAAGATCAGACACAGGGAAGATGTTCCTCAGCCAGGTCACTCCCCATGACCAGTCACAGGGGAGATGTTCCTCACCCAGCTCACTCCCCATGACTGGTCACAGGGGAGATGTTCTCCAGCCAATACCAAGAACCAAGGCAAAGGAATGGAAAGGGATTGGAACTGGCCACAGGAGAAGATGTTCTCCAGCCAGGTCATTCCCTTAGACTGGTCACAAGGGCGATGTTTTCCAGCCAGATCACTCCCTTAAACCAGTCACAGGGGAGATGTTCTCCAGCCACCTCGGTCTCCATGACTGGTCACAGGGGAGATGTTCCTCAGCCAATAACAAAAAGAAGAAAAAAAGTGAATTCAGATTCTGCTAAATTTGGACAAATTTTGATTGAAAATCAGGAGTGAAAGAAGAATAAAAAGCTAATTCAGATTCTGCTAAACTTGGACAAATTTAGGAGTGAAAGAAGAAGAAGAAAAAGCGAATTCAGATTCTGCTAAATTTGGACAAATTTTGATTGAAAATCAGGAGTGAAAGAAGAAAAAGCTAATTCAGATTCTGCTAAATTTGAACAAATTCTGATTGAAAATCAGGAGGGAAAGAAGAATAAAAAGCTAATTCAGACGTCAGGAGTGCAGTGAGGAGACCAAACCACATTTCTCCCTTTTTTTTTTGCTGGAAATAAATTGAATTTCTGTTGGTTTTTTTACCACAATCTGCTGTGATTTATTTGCTTAATTCTCTTTATTCCAGGCCACTGATGCTCGCAGAGCTTTCCCTTGCTGGGATGAGCCTGCAATTAAAGCAACATTTGATATTTCTTTGGTGGTTCCCAAAGACAGAGTAGCTTTGTCAAATATGGTAAGTTTGGAAATATTTTCATTAAATATACCCTTGATAATTAAAATTTTGCAACAGCTGAGAATAAAATCTGTGATAAATGAGGAGAGAAAACACAAAATTTGATGTCAGGACAAACGTGGTCGTTTTAAAAAAAATAAAATTAATTTCATGTGCTTATAAATAAACTATAAATAAATAAATTATAAATAAATATATTATAAATAAATAAAGCCTGGCCTGGCCCTGACCTGAGGTTTTGTGTCATAAAGAAATTCAATTTTTTGGGGGTTTTCCCCACTGTTTTTGGGGGTTTTTTTCCTTGTTGCTTGGGTTTTTTTTCCTTGGTTTTTTTTGCTTTTCTTCCTTTTTTTTTAAATTTTCCTTGGATTTTGTGGGTTTCCCTTTTGGGATTTTAGTGCTAAAAACCTGGATTTTCAGAGCTTCTGGTAACAAATTATTTCTTCTTTCTCTGCAAATTATACCTGGCCTTTCTTCTCCTGAATGAAAGAGCTGCTCAAATCCAAACATCCCACAACATTGGGATTTGAAATTGAGATTTGAAGTTCCTCTGGAATTCTGATTGGAAATTTTTATTTAAAATTGAGATTTGAAGTTCTTCTGGAGTTTGATTGAGAGTTTTGATATAGAATTGAGATTTGAAGTTCCCCTGGAGTTCTGATTGGAAGTTTTGATTTGAAATTGAGATTTGAAGTTCCTCTGGAGTTCTGATTGGAAATTTTGATTAAAAATTGAGTCTTGAAGTTGCCCTGGAATTCTGATAGAAAGTTTTGATTTGAAATTGAGATTTGAAGTTCCTCTGGAGTTCTGATTAGAAGTTGAAGAAGAATTTTGGTTTGGAATTGAAGCTCGCACGTGTGAGGCAGCAGGAATTAAATCCATTTAGAAATTCCATTCAGAAATTCCATTTTTGGCATTTTTTTCCTCTTATTTCCAAGACACTCTTTCTGAAACTCTTTGTGCCATAAAACCCCCAACATTTAGATAAAAAATTCCATTTTTGGAGCCTCCAAACCCTCAATGCTCTACATGTCAACCCCCAAATTTCCCTCCCCAAACCCTCTTTGGGCAGAACGTGGTGGAGCGGCGGCCGTACCCCGACGACGAGAGCCTGGTGGAGGTGAAGTTCGCGCGGTCGCCGGTGATGTCCACGTACCTGGTGGCCTTCGTGGTGGGCGAGTACGACTTCGTGGAGGCGCGGTCGCAGGACGGCGTCCTGGTGCGCGTCTACACGCCCGTGGGCAAGGCCGAGCAGGGCAAGTTCGCTCTGGAGGTAAATCTGAGCCAGGTTTGAGGGTTTGGGGTCTGGTCAGCCACAGAAATCTGGGAGTTTTGGGATTTTTGACATTTTTCTTGGGTTTTTTTGGGTTTTTGTTGGGTTGTAGACGCGCTCTTGGTCCTGGTGCGCGTCTACACACCCGTGGGCAAGGCCGAGCAGGGCAAGTTCACCCTGGAGGTAAATCTGAGACAGGTTTGGGGGTTTGGGGTCTGGTCAACCACAGAAATCTGGGAGTTTTGGGTTTTTTGGGGTTTTTTCTTGGTTTTTGTTGGGTTGTAGACGCGCTCTTGGTCCTGGTGCGCATCTACACGCCCGTGGGCAAGGCCGAGCAAGGCAAGTTCGCCCTGGAGGTAAATCTGAGACAGGTTTGAGGGTTTGGGTCTGGTCAACCACAGAAATCTCTGAGCTTTGGGGTTTCTTGGGGTTTTTTTGGGGTTTTTTCTTGGTTTTTGTTGGGTTGTAGACACGCGCAACGTCGTCGTGTGTGTCTACACACCTGTGGGCAAGGCTGCGCAGGGCAAGTTCGACCTGGAGGTAAATCTGAGCCAGGTTTGAGGGTTTGGGGTCTGGTCAGCCACAGAAATCTGGGAGTTTTGGGGTTTTTTGGGGTTTTTTTTGGGTTTTTTCTTGGTTTTGTTGGGTTGTAGACGCGCTCTTGGTCCTGGTGCGCGTCTACACGCTCGTGGGCAAGGCCGAGCAGGGCAAGTTCGCCCTGGAGGTAAATCTGAGCCAGGTTTGAGGGTTTGGGGTCTGGTCAGCCACAGAAATCTGGGAGTTTTGGGGTTTTTTGGGGTTTTTTCATGGTTTTTGTTGGGTTGTAGACGCGCTCTTGGTCCTGGTGCGCATCTACACGCCCGTGGGCAAGGCCGAGCAGGGCAAGTTCACCCTGGAGGTAAATCTGAGACAGGTTTGGGGGTTTGGGGTCTGGTCAGCCACAGAAATCTGGGAGTTTTGGAGTTTTTTGGGGTTTTTTTTGGTTTTTTTCTTGGTTTTTGTTGGGTTGTAGACGCGCTCTTGGTCCTGGTGCGCGTCTACACGCCCGTGGGCAAGGCCGAGCAGAGCAAGTTCGCCCTGGAGGTAAATCTGAGCCAGGTTTGAGGGTTTGGGGTCTGGTCAGCCACAGAAATCTGGGAGTTTTGGGTTTTTTGACATTTTTCTTGCTTTTTTTGGGTTTTTGTTGGGTTTTTTCTTGGTTTTTGTTGGGTTGTAGATGTGCATGGTGTCCTGGTGCGCATCTACACGCCCGTGGCCAAGGCCGAGCAGGGCAAGTTCGCCCTGGAGGTAAATCTGAGTCAGGTTTGAGGGTTTGGGGTCTGGTCAGCCACAGAAATCTGGGAATTTTGGGGTTTTTGACATTTTTCTTGGTTTTTTTGGGGGTTTTTCTTGGCTTTTGTTGGGTTTTAGATGCGCACAGCATCCTTGTGCACATCTACACTCTCGTGGGCAAGGCCGAGCAAGGCAAGTTCGCCCTGGAGGTAAATCTGAGACAGGTTTGAGGGTTTGGGTCTGGTCAACCACAGAAATCTCTGAGCT